TAATTAATTAAACACATTAATCTAGGAAAAGCAATAAATTGCCAGCGCAAATAACCGTGGACTGCATCAGCTCTGTTCCGAATTATAATGATGCATGCTTGAATTTGCCCTTCGGGGAATCCCTTGCGATGCCGCCGGTTTGCCTCTGTTTGTAATTTTTCTTAAGGAATGGCGTGCTCCATAGCTCCAGAGGTGCTGATTTCCTGATTTCGCTGCATACAGAGAGCAACAAAAGGGGCATGGGCAAAGTATTTTTCAGCATCTATGTATGCCATGACTAACTCTTCGGGGAAGTGTTAGTCCTTCGATGCCTCGCTCGCATCCAATCAACGCATCCCTTCTGATGCATGATGGCCGAGAAGTCAATTGCATGACTCAATATGAAATGAATGCACATATGGAGCACAACAAGGGCCTAGACTCCATCATGGATAATCCGGAGTGTCGGCGACCGGGAATTGAGACACGTTCCGTCACTCAGTGTACGAAACGTCCCTCGTTTCCTGTGCTTGGGCTAACTCCTATCCCAAGCACAATGCAATATGCATGATATGCATGAATGCAACCCTAACATGCGACCTAGCATACACAATGCTATGAAATGGCATACACAATGCACGATGTAACGAGGCATACGCAATGCTCTAACATACAACCTAGCATACATAATGCTATGAAATGAAATGGCATACGCAATGCATAATGGACTTACACTAACATGAGTGGACCTTAGCCACACTCACATCAGTAGCTATTAGGCGAAAATGAGACTCTCAAAATGCGTGCACGCATGCACGCAAACCGAGGACCGATCCTAGGCATAACATGCAACTCTAACAAGGCATGGCAAGGGATGCAAGATGGAATACAAACTCACAAATTCCAGTACTTAAATATGATGCTAAACAGCCCCAAAACATGAAAAAATGGCACCCGATGCATGAGATGAAACCCGAAACTCGAAACTAGGCACATGGAATGACTTATAGCTATACAAAGCATGCATTATTTGATCATGAAGCATGAAGACAGAGCCAAGGCAGTCCCAAAGCATGAACATTTCCAGTTCAAAGCATGGCCAAAAGATGCTAGCATGGTGGACAAAAATAGCATGCAATCTTGACTAGCAATCATGGTTTAAATGGCAAGTATATGAAGCAAATATAATCTCACCAAACCAGAAAAAATCAGTGAATAAATCATGTTAAAATAGGCCTAAATAACCACTGATATGCAACCATGGTATGCAAAAATAATGAGCTCCTTTAGAGGGCCATGCAAGGAGTTATTAAGCACATGAAAGGTAGACATTTAGCATGGCATAGATTTACTATGTGATGCGCACAGCATACAAGTATAGACTGGATCGCTTGAATTGGAACAAAACATTTCATGCAATAGATATCATGGTTAGTAGAGACCGATCTTTGATCGGGCGAGCGGGGGTGCTCCCAAATTGACCCTGGAAAGTGACTTCGAAGCATACAAGGTAGGGTCTCTTTGTAAGGCCAAAAAGGTCACCAAACAAGAGAAGGAGAGAGGGGGTCACCCCCCTCTAATCTTGGCTCTCAAAATAGTGTTCCAGCCACTGAAAATCCACTGGATTTCAGTGGCTAGAAGGCCAAACCAAGCATGCAACAAGAGCTTAGGTGTAAGGCTCAAAATAAGGGACAATCAAGCATACAAGGAAGCATATGACCTCAAACAAGAAAATGTCCTTAATCAAACACGAAGATGATGTCAAAATGAGAATTTTTCCAGTTTATAACAGATCTCAAAAGTGAACACAAATAGGGCTAATCTATCTTGCAAAAATGGCCCTAAAAGAGAGAATAGAGACAAGGGACAGCAGCTGGCCCCAAAAAGTGAAGATCTCTTCAACAAAGTTGAAGAGGGGCTCAAAATGAAGCACTTTACAGTTTACATCAATCCACCAAAATGATCAAAAATAGGGCTAAACTATCATGCAAGAAAAAGGCCTAAAAGAGGGATAAAGAGGCAAGTGGTAGCAGCTGACCTCAAAAAGAGGAGATCCCTTCAACAAAGTTGAAGAGGGGATCAAAAAAAGACATTTCACAGTTTATGACCAAGTCCAAAACAGCTCACAAATAAGCCTAAAATATCATGCAAAAATAGGCATAAAAGAGAGTTTAAACACAAAGGGGGAGGAGGAGACCTCAAACAAAGAAAGACCCTTGATCAAACATGAAAATGAGCTCAAAATATGACTATTTACAGTTCAGGTCAGAGCCCAAAAACACTTGAAAATAAGGCTAACCAATCATGCAAAATAAGGCAAGAAAAGGGGAAATAGGGACTCACCCTTGAAGAGAAGCTTTCCAGCAGCTTTTGGTCCAAATTTCTGAGCTTTTAACCTTTGCAAATGGCCTCCAAGGTGCTGGAATGAGTAGTGGAGGTGTTGTGATATGGGTTGTAGTGCAAATATGCAAGAAATATGGACTTTTAGCACCAAAAGAGAGATATATGGAGATGTATGTATAATTCCAGCCCAAAAGCTTCTAACCCTTAACAATGGAGGTGGAGTGTGTGTTATATAGAAGGAGAGAGGCTAAGCTTATTTTGAAATCAAAAAGGGGGGGGGGAAACCAATTTGAATGGACCAAAACAAGAGGCAAAATCTCGGACAGTGGATCCAGTGGAACATAGCTGGCACAGCTGGAATACACTCACAGGGGCAAGAATGGCCAGCCAGCTCAAAAGGGCCAAAGTGGTCAACCGACCAGGCAAGTGGCCGGCCGACCAGGTAAAAAGGGTCAAAGTGTCCGGCCACCCCCAAGGATGAAGCCCCAGAAGTTAGCTTTCCAATTCCGCAAACCTTGAATCAAAATTCCTCCTATGCAAAAAGTTATGCCAGTTTTCGTGAAGCCGCGTAGATTCGGTCCAAACGGACTTCAACCAACCATATCTCCCCCACCCGAACTTGTCCTTAGGAGATTCTTGAGTAAAAAATGAAGCCCCGGAAGTAAGCTTTCCAACGGGGGTGGCCTCATATCTTAATTCCTCCTGTGCAAAGAGTTATGCCCGTTTCGGTGAAGCCGCGCAGATGTTTTCCTCCTTCCCGGATTCATGCTGAATCACTTTTGACCAAAAAAAAGCTGGTTTTTCAGAAAAATTGCTGGCCTCCCACTCTCCTACAACCTTTCTAACAGTGAAAATAAGGTCTCCACCAAAAATGAACCAAGACGGATGCAAAACGGAGGTTCGGGGGCCGAAACACGCAGTTCAGGGCCCCGAAAACAGACTTTCTAGGCACCGGAAGTGGCGTTCGACCACGAAGTTGGTCTTTCAGACCACAGTATCCCTCAAAAGGGAGGAAATAAGGTGTATGCCAAAAAATGGAGCAAACGGAGGTGGTTAAGCGGTCCCGAACTGAGGCACACGGCTGACGGCTCCGAAAAACCGAAAACCGGGCTCCAAACGAAAAAAATGGCCTACGACCATGAAACGTAGCCTACGGCCACTAAGAGATGATCTATGAGACCTCTCCCTCCCTTCGAGAAGAGAAAACAAAGAAAACAGGACCTGGTTCGCAAACCGAGGCAAAGCACAAAAGAGCCTCGAAGTCTGGAGGCAAGGCTCGCAGCCGAGACTCCGCAATCTTAGAACGAGCACAATATGCAACATCACCAAGCGCTCAATCGGTGACGTCTGAGTCTTAAGGTCGGTCAAAAATTGGGTGTCTACAATAACACTAAAAAAAAAAAAAAATCGAAAAATCTCTTTCTTTACAAATATGTACAAACATATGTTCTCCACATTTTATTAGAAGATAAATACCCAGTAACACATAATAAAGGCTAATACGGTAATTGACATTAGGAACAAAAAAGTTAGAGAGCAAGTAATAGCTGTAGAACCACACATCTTTATCAAGTAGGAAAAACTGAGGACTTGCTTCAGCTCCTGCCATTCTTGAAACAGCCTTTGTAGCCATGTTAAAAACATCATGCCCTGCACTGAAAGACAGAAAAAAGAATAAGAAGATGCAACTCACAACTGATATTACCAACCACCCTAAACCATAAAAAAGTAACAATCAAACCAGGAGTACAGCCATTACAGTTGAACTTCATCAGTGCCTTCCAGCTCCAACTACAACTATCTTCTGGTTCACATAGTCAGTCAATGCTCGACCTTGTGCCCTTACGCTTCCAAGCAGTCCTGCCAGTGCAACACCAGCAATTCCCTATACAACATGATGACAAGCGACAAAAATGTCATTATAATAGAGTCACCCTTAACAATCTTAAAGTACTTTGTCTTATTATGTTCTTCACCTGCATGTCATCATTGAACATGCAGATCCTTTTTTGATACCGTTGCAGTCTTTCAAAAGCCCACTTCATTTGAAAATCCTCAAACTGATAATATTCGACAAGCATCAAGTAATCAGTATGATATTGGTTACACATCAAACAAGATGTCATATTTCTGAAAGAATTAAACCTGCACAATAGCCTTGGGCCGACGGACGTGAATTGCCTCCATAAATTCATCAACAATTGATAGATACTCCTCTCCTTCCAACTGAGGGTGCCAAAGTCCCAAATCTGTCAAAGTAAAATCAAGTGAAAATAAATCCTCATGAAGTTTGTTGGAAAAAATGGGTTTACAACCAGTTATGTAGTCTACTTACTCTGCTTAAAGACTAGAAAATATGGAGAACGAAATAGAGTATATTCAGCATAAATGAATGTTAAGAATGGATAAGCATGAATGAACTTTAATGTTTAAAATTGTTGGAAGTCCAACCTAAGGTGCTAGTAATGAAATTTAACAAGGGAAATCCTACTTCATAGTTAGTAATGAAATTTAACAAGGGAAATCCTACTTCATACAAGTAAATAGTCACTATTTTCAAATCTGAGAGGTTCATGATGTCTTTCTTACAAAATGAGAAAAATATGAAAATAATTGACAAGAAACAATTGTAAACAAGAAAAGATTAGACTTAAAACCTTTGTGATGATGGAATTTAAATGGAAATCAATATTACAACACATGGAAGTATAGTCTTTATTTATTTTATTTTATTGTTTGATAAATAATAAACAACTCCATTTGAATGATAATAATTTGGCTGTAATAACTAGACACTCTTGGGCATTATATGTACACTTATGTACAGTCAGATTGTTTCCATAATTCCGTGGTTTCTATTTTAAGTGCATTTTCGTTTCTAGTTTGTTTAGGTAAGGTCATCCCAAAAAACAAAGATATATATGCAGGTACATATCTAATGAGGTGATTCTTATTTACATCTCTAGTTTTGTTAGACTTTAACTTCAAGTTCTGTTGGATCTAAATCTGAATTCACACCATAAAGAGTAATATTAAATAATTAAATCTTAGAAGTTTTATCCATGTTAAAGTTGATTCTAAGTACCCTCACAAAATGATGTGCTTAATTCTATCAGGATACAATGTCTTCTAGTTGAATTTAAGTTAAGAGAAATGAAAAATATACAAAGTGCTACATCCACTTCTATATTTGTTTGATTATATGATCTTTTTCAAAAAAATTTGTATTGTTGCTTTCATCAGCAAGGACTTTAGCAGTTCTACCAAAACCCATTTCATAGTCACTAAACATTGCTACATCATAATTTTTAATATAAAGTCACACTAAGACAGTCAAATATGGCCTAGGACAGGTTGCCCGACAATCAAATTTTGAGTAATTTTCGGAATGCATTAGATCAATCCATATTTTTCTATTGCTTAATAAACAAAAAAGATCCTATGCTATCCTAGTCACTTTGTCTCAAGTACATTACTCAATCAGGGTAATTTTATTTACGTATATTACATAATCAGCACCAATGAAGCTTTATAGTCTAATTGTCATAGTTCATTTGCATAGCACCCTCAAAAGACAACAAATACTTGTCCAGGCTGACAGCAACTTTATTTGACAAGAATATTCCACCGAGAAAATTTTTCTAAGTTTCATGGAGTTCTCAGAACGAAAAGATATGAGCATGTATATCTCCATCAGCAAAACACTTCTATTGTATAAGCTAGATAATATTATATTTACAAGGGAACAAGCATGTTGCTTAAAACATGTGCATATGACGCCAAAATAATCACAGATATTGAGAAAGCGGACAATAAAATGAAGGAGATGCATGAAACTTTAATTAGCACAAAGCAACTTCACCTCTCCTCTCTGCATGTGTTAAGAGAGAGAGAGAGGCATCCAGTATTGCAGTATTCAAGGCCTATTACAGTCTGTAAGAGAGATAATAATCAATTATGTTAAAGAGCAAGTGATTTGGTTGAATATATTCAGTCCCAAAAATGCAGCCTTTAAACTTCTATGAAGTATGAAACAATTGAAACAATAAAATATTAAATAAAGAGAAGGAACCACTGAACATAAAATAAACAGCACAAAGTCAATAGAAAGACAGTCTTCAAGAAGCTTTTGATTGTTGGTACCAACATCAAGCATAACTGGAAGGATCTGTTATAGATGAACACAGCTAGATTGGTATAGAAGAAAACATAATGAAAAGGTAAATAGTTAGTCCAAAACTGGATATAAATATCATAGTTCCTAGTATCTTTGAGATCAGGTGGATGAGAAATTACTGTCAGTTCTCCACGTATCTAACCTTCTATCTCATATATATGCACTTTCATCAATATAATATCCACATTGATGAAAAACAACCAATAGAAATATGTCTTGCAAAGCATGAAAATATAATAACACGACCAACATATAAGCAAGCATAGGTAACCTTCAATACGCATGATACATGCAATAACAATGTGCTACGATCCATATCAAGCATGGTAAACATCTGTGAGTCAGCCCAGTACTAAATGTGTATTTACTTGTCAGTGTGCACAAGGGTTTATACATTGACACACACTTGTATACCAAATTTATTTTAGTGCACACCTGTTTGTGCAATGCCTACATGAAACTGTACATAATAAAGAGAGATGAGTATAGCATACTCTCTGTGGATTGATTCCAGCAGCAGCGACATACATATCAAGATTTCCAATGGGTATTCCAGTTCCCTGGACCCCAAGATCACCCAGACCAAGAATGCGACCACCATTAGTCAGGACAATCATGTCAACCTGCAATACAGAAGAAGTCATATACCCATGATATGTCAAGTGCAATGATGAACATAACCTTTAAGCTGCAAGGAGTGCTGAACCAATTTTCATTTCTAAGCGAGCAAATGTGCTCATTTTGTAATGTATATATTCATTATTCACAGCAAACAATAATGCTACACTGGACACATTTTTTTACCTTGCTTTGTTTACCATCTGATCTGGTACAAGTACAAAGCACTCTTAATGTATCACCAAGAAGTAGGTAAAAGCATTAAAGAGAACAAAACTGTACATTAATGCATTTTAGATTTCCAAAATACCAGATGACCAGGCCAGTTATAGATCATGGACATCATCTCTCCTTTATCTTTTGCACTGAAGTACATTCCCCATGGGCGTCTGAACAACCCTGAATAGTTTTGGCAAACCAATCCTACTGTAGGAGTATATATTATTGGAGCAAAATCTTCAATGTTATCAATAAGGACATGGAGAGAAAAGCAACAGCAATGCGTCATTGCCTCAAATTATTTCTCTCTAGCTAAAGAGAAATTATAATTAACTAAAACTACAAACACAAATTGCATGGTCACAGACAACTTTATTTTCATCTGTGTATTTTTCTTTACTTCAGAAATCAATCTAACCATGGTGTGTTCTCGGCACACTTGGATTCAATTGTAAGAGCGACTACCCGATATAAATTAGACAGAGCACACCTAAGAAAAGTCTGAAACCATACAGCATGCCAAGTTCGAAAACAATCTACTCCTCACCAGCCAAGATTAAGCAGCTAGAACTATGCTTAAGAATTTGGACAGCCAGATATGTTACTTGATTTCTCTTATCTTCACCTTCACTAACGATTCAAGGTGTACATGTCAAGTGCTATGACTCAGACATAATGCACCAAACATCAACATAATGTATACTCTTCTTCCCACAAAATTACGACCGTAAGTTTCATTTCCAGGGTATTTTATTTTTTCATGTTCCATTAGTTAACAATTCATTGTTTACTAAAACCATAGAAAAGAAACCAAATTAATATAGATAGAAGTAATACTGAATTTATATTTTAAAGATCTATTTCAAGACTCTAGTCGAGATGGAAAAATCTCCTTGCTAGAACCAAAGGAATACAAGACCTTTTACTGGCACATTAGTTCTTTCAAGACTTCTTTGCCGCGTTTTTTACCTCTATTTTTTCAAATTAATCTATGATCTTTCCTCCATTCAGTAATATATAGATTAATCAATAGTCATTAATAAAAACATTAATTTAACTTATTTATTTTGGAGGAGAGGAATCATAAGCGTTAAATGGTGTGTTTCAAGGCCTACACCCAAGGTTCTAAAAAGCGGTTGCGGTCGCCGTAACGGTGGTGGTGACGTGGTTGCGGTTGCGAGGTGTAAAGGCCGTAGTGTAACGGTTGCGGTAATCGGAACCGTGAATTTTTTTATTTTTCGCACAATTTGAAAAAAACTTATCGATACACATATTTTTTTTTTCCATGATCATATTTATTGGGTTAAAAATAAATATTGATCAATTTTTGTAAATTTTTAAGTATGACCCAATATATTTCATATTTTAAATCACTATAAACTGAGTTTTTTACATTTTATTTTAATAATTAATGATTTTATATTATACAAAAAATCAATCACTAACTATTATATATAAGATAAACAATGACAAAAGTAAGAGAATAAACAAGAGCCTAAATATATATATATACATATTTTAATCAAGCCAAATAGATAATGACCACACTTATTATTATTATTATTTTCAAACAATATATAGATAGACGCACACAAACAAAATGGTTTAGTGATAGCAGCTGAATAGAATAGCATAGGTGAAGCAGCTTCAACAAATCAATAACATGTTATTCATCTTCCCACTTCTCTCTCTCTTTATCTTTTGCTCCTCCATTTTCTCTCTTTATCTTCCATTTTCTCTCTATCCCTCTTCCCCAATTTTCAGCCTTTTTTTGTGTGTTTTTTTCGAAAGAAACAGTTTGGAACTGTTACATAACGGTGCATAACAAGCCGTTACGGCTGTTACGGCACCGCTACGACCGCTACGGCTAACATACCTATGAATCTCAATCACACTGCAAAAGCGGCCGTAACGGGTGGCGGTAACCGCCAAAACCGTTACGTAATGGCGTTACGTAACGGTTGCGGCCGCTTTTTAAAACCTTGCCTGCACCTAATATATTATGAGATCCCAATGAGACAATGTAAATTCCATCATTGCAGCTGCATCAAATATTCTTGGTCCATCGCAAAAAAAGGCCATCAAATTAAGTTTAAGAGCTAAAATCTAGCACTTCATAGAATGTTTGAATGAAGTACAAGATCATTTTTGCTGACCTAAAAGAAAGATAAACTATAAAACCCAAAACACATGGAGCACGAAAAGTGACCTTTTGTACTCGGAAGCTTTTGCAAGCAGCATGATGTCCCCATAGGAATGAGATGTTTGTACAGTTATAGTAACCAATCAAGACTCAGCAATAATTCAAGACCAGACTAGAGATATGTTGTCCTGCAAACCAAACAAGTCAAGTGTTAGTTCAACTTGTTGTAACTGTAAAACCCAAGTTGTGTATAGGATTATTTTATTGGATAGGTTAGGATTATTTTATTGGATAGGTTAGTAATTAAATTAATTTATATGGGTTATTTATTAATATCAAAGAATTAGTTATGAGATGGCATTATATTTTCTATTACTTAGATGGGTAATTTTGTAACTTTGAGAAATTAGGTTAATAAGTCCACTTGTTATGGCTTTAAGTCTTGGGAAGCAAACAAAACAGAGGCTGGGAATTGCTCCACAGGCGGCAAGGGTTTGAGAAGGTAAAAGAAAAGAAAAGGAGAAGAGAGGTTCAAGTGAGGCTGCAATAGGGATTGGAGGCAGCACGTTGGGTGATTTTGGGACACCCATTGGTTGGGGTAAAATCTGCCTTTACTGTTGATTATTGAGTTTATGTTGAGGAATTAAACAATCAATGCATTAAGGGGATTTGAAAGATCTATAGGTGCCTACTTAGGTTTTGAGAATTGGGTGCAATGTGTGAGTGTAACTTTGGATGGATAATAGAAACAATGGAGTTTTGTATCATGGGAAAGGGTGTGTTTGGCTATAAAGTTGGGTTGAATGGTTTGATTACTTGGATATTAAAGCAATACATTAATCTAATATGGTGGGGCTTTTGTGGGTCTATGTAACACGTAAAAATATTAATTTATTTGAGATTTTATTTATTAGGTTTGTGTGATTGAAGTGGTGGAGTTGGGTGTTTGGAGTTGGTGTTGGAATATTATTTCTAAGCGTTTTAGGTAAGTAACCCTCTATCACTGTTGGTACATTTTTATTTCCTATTGAATCGTTTAAAATTATAAATATTTATTCATAACCTTCATGTTCTCTTAAAATAAAATACGGGTCCAGTATAAAACAGTATTGAATATTATTATGAAAATTATTTGAATATTTTATGGAACTATTATGAAAATTGTACTAAATGTTTATTTTGAAAATATCACATATTTTATTTAAAAGTTGTGTATTGTTTAAATTTTGAGCATTACTCTAGTCTGATTATGATTTGGACCCAAGCCAATGGGGGTTATTTATTGGCACAGAAACTAATTTCTTTTGGGGCTTTACTACCGGCCTATGTGTGGTTCTGGGCCTTGTCACGGGCTAAGTGACCCTAGTCTCCACGACTTGGGTTTTGTGAATCGCATCATTGAACCATTGAATATCGAACCATCAATTTTGAACAACAAAATTTCGTTGAATTACCTCATTGTCTTTTCAATTAAAATTTATTGCTAGACTGTTTATTTTCAGCTATGAAACCATCTTACAAAATAATTGTTCATTTATTGAATGGTAGTAAAGAATATATTTGTTGGTTATCGACTATTTTTTTTTGTATACTTGATCCAGGTAGCAGTGGTGGTTGGTTATTTACTGGGTTGTCTAGCTTACCCTTATTTTATTTTTTTCAAATTCTGAGGAGTAGAGCTGCGCGAGGTTTTTACTTGTGGGAGTGCCGAGAGTAGGACTATGATTTAAGTATTTGGATTTTTTTTTAATTTTTTTATTTATTAGTGGACTTGGTGGATAATTTCATACGATGAGAATTATCTATTTGTATGGTTTTTAGCATTATGATATTTAAGGATTTAATTTGAGTATTTTACATTGTTGGTTATGTGTTCAACTCTTAGCCTTGCATGCTCACTTAAATAAGTGTGCAGCGTTGTCACGAAGCTTGGGGTGTGACAGTAACAGAGTGAGTTAGGTAGATATTTTCATTAGACATTTTGTAAACATGTTGAGTGTATATAACGCACTATATCTTTGAGTTTTCAATCTAATGAAAATCATTCAGTTTCAAAACTTCTTCATGTGTTTTCTTCATGTGTAAAATTAAGAGAGGTAGCTATAGCATGGCTAGTCTACATATATCCATTAGGGATGAATTGATAGATTAAAAACTCAATATCCACAAATAACTTAGAGAGAATGATATATGTACTCAAGGCAGCTCAAGTGGCAAATCAAGACAAATCCAAAATGGAGTGTGCTGTTAGATACCATCAAGTTCACAAAAATAGGATTCTTCTCCATATTAGTTCTAAGAATCAACCATTGCAGAGCCAGAAACATCCATTAAACAATTCACCACTAATATAAACCTTCAATTATACATAATGTACACTAATAAACTTGTGTAATACACAAAACTGGATCAAGTAATTTATAGTTACCAAATAACAAATACCATAATGAAAGCAAAAACCACAATAGTTAATTTTTACAAAAATCTAATAAATGACCGCTTGCATCACTAATACTAAAATTCCATAAATGCTAATAAAGTTAAACAATTGTTTCCATAAATCATAAATGTATGATATTTTCCTTCACTAATTTTGAACAAATTTAATTCAGATATATCCTTTGAACATAAGGTTTGTCTAGT